AGAGAAGGGAAGAGAGGAGATGAGAAGAAAAGCACAGAAACTATTCACACATTAGTGTGCCAGCAAGGGCCCCCCTGCCAGTAATGCTCCCCTAGGGGCAGGTATCAGCAGCAGCAGAAATGCACAGACATGCGAGAAGGCGCAGAGACAAGTCACCATTAAAGAACATGACTACACACCAGGGGAAAGGGCAGGGTTGAAGACCCCCCTCCACTCAAACATCAAGGTCAGAACATAGGTGCCCCACCTACAAGGAGAGGAGAAGAGGGAGGAATATGTATGCACAAGATGTGGGATGCAAGGGGGTGCCTCTATGTGCTCTCCCACCTCAGAAAACGGTGCAGCTTCCCCAGCCACACCGAAAAGGTAGGCAGAAACCCCGCCGTGTGTTCACATTGGAGGAAGCAGAGCTGTGTTTGCAACTAGAATCAGAGGATAGGGCGGAGGGCACAACAGGAGGGGCATCCCCAAGAGCTAAAGAAAGAAGAGGGAATTTCTGTGCATAGCATGGGGAGGAGAAAGGCTCCCTCACACAGAACTTGGGGGTGATTCGAGAGGCAAGGTGCACCCATGCTCAGACATAGAGGAAAGGCAAGGAAGGCAAAGAGACACTCAACAGCCAGAACACCTCACGCTCTCAGATACTGGGAGAAGAGCAAACAGGGAGCAATGCTCAAACACTACCCAACCTTCTTGGACTCTACTCTTCTTCAAAGGCATCTTCAGTCATCTTCAAAGACACCTTCACACCAAACTGCACTCTCCAGTAAACCCGGCTGAGCATGCATTTCTCTGCTCTTTCACTACACTCTTAGTGTCATCCTGTCCAAGCTGAGCCTGGCAGGTCTTTCAGCATTACAATGCTATCCCTTTCTTCTGCTCTCTCCACATACGTTTTCATCTGCCCTTCTCCTTTGGTACTACCTAGGCTATTTCTCTGCTGCTTACTATTCATGGGGAGGTACTACAGAGTCTAGCTCACAGCATACTGTAGGACAGCACGTCCCAGCCA